ATTGTATTCTATTCTGCTCCAACCTTTATACCTGGTGGTCATACTCAATTTAAAATTGTTTTCCTATATACTTCTGTAAACTTGTTGACAAATATCTGTTTTTCATTGAGTCACCCGTATCAACAGTTTAGGGATTTGCATACATAATTTATTGTTTTATTACTCTCTCATACATAAAAATACACTATAGAATCATACCAAGTAAGAGATTTCGGAAACAGTAAAAGAATCTTTTTCTTCTCATTTGTTCTTGTTCATTGCGATTGATATCATGTTACTTTGTCAATCCATCATTTGCATTATTGACCGATATTTCTTCTTCATCTTTTATTGTCGTACAGTATTTATTCTTGGTATACATGTATTTAAATAAGTTTTCTTTCTTACATTTAAAGCACAGAAAATAACTTAGAAAAATATAGTTTCCATTTGACTTTCAACTGAACAATGAGCAATCAAATAATAAACAAAGTAAGAACAGAGAACTACATAATATACAACCACATGGAACAATAACAAACAAATTAAATGAAAAACCAAAGATCAAAACTATCGTATATAATATCATAAGAGAAAAAGTTTTGCCGGCAATATTATCAACTGGTATGAAAGTTTGTTGCCTTTTGACGTCGGTCAACAGATTTTGCCGATTAGAAAAGAAAATAGAACATGGCACGTGAAGGAAAACGGTTTTTCCAGTTTTGTACTCCTAACAATCCAAAGTCTACCTTTACCCATTCCATCAATTTTCTTCGAGGTCGTCTACTTTTCCTTTTGTGCTAGCGTTACTACTTATTAATGCTTTGGGGACTCTTCCTTCCTTCATTCTAGCTACGTGTCCGAGCCATCTTTCGCAATGTTTGAAATTTTTTGTTGTCCTTATTTCATTATTTGTTCTTCTTCTCCAGATATGTCTATCTTTTATACCTCCATATATTTTTTTGAGTATCTTTCGCTCCCATCTATCTAGCTTCAGTTCTATGGTTTTGCTTAAGATCCAGGTCTCGCTAGCATAAAGCACCATTGGTCGGATAACCGTTGTATATATTCTTCTTTTGCTCCTCTGGATATTTTCTTAGATCTCAGCATCTTATTTAGAGTTCTAGAACTTTTACTACCTTTAGCCATTCTTTTTTCGGTTTGTTGATTTCGTCTGTTCATTTGTATTTTCGCCAACGTTACTCCCAAATAATCAAACTGTTCAACTATCTCAAAGTTATATTCCTTGTTTGGGACAGATACTTTCCAAAACTCGCATCTCCATATACCTTTTTTTTTCTCTTCATTTACTTCCAGCCTATCCTGGCTGTTCTACCCGAGTCTTTTAAAAATTGCTCTTAATTATGTTGGTCTTCTTATAGGGTAAGGTTGTCTACGTAGTGTAAGATCATGTATAGGACCATATATACATACTGGAAAAACTGTTGGAAAAGAAAAAGAAAAAAATAGAGATCTGGCATTTGTGGAACTGAGAAAGGTGTATGACTCTGTACCAAGGTAAGAACTATGGGAAACAATGTACAAATTTGAAATACAGACGAAACTCATAAAAGCCACTAAAGTTCTGTATAAAGAAAATAAAGTGTCATTATAATGGAAACAAGAATCATAGGAGACTTCACCACAACAAAAGGGGCTAGAGCAAAATATCTGGCCCATCAGTCCAGTTTTTCTCTACTTGGCTGACTTCGTTCTCTTTTTATTTCTTGGTAGAACTTCCTGACTTTGTTATTAACAAAAGCTTCTTCAATATTATTTAAATTTTTCTTCCAACTGCAACCTTTACTTTGTTCTAAATATTTCTTTGATTCCCTTATCTTTTCAGCATAATATAGTTCTCTATTGTTCAAATTAATCTTCCTTATGGTATTGATTTTGGCTCTATTCCTTTCCTTAATCGCTCTTACAATCATTATCATGCCAATCTTTTTGTCTTCTTTGAGAGGGTGTAGGTAGATCTAACTCGCTGCTTTTTGAATCGTTTCTCTGAGTCATTCCCACAGATCTTTGAAGACGAACGCTACACTCCTTCTGAGGGGTCAGAACTTCAGAGAGAAGGCCAGAAAGGGTTCAGAGAGGTGCAATTTAATTTGACAGTACCAAATTATGATCGTTTCCTATGCATTTGATTATGTTATATACTATAACTTACTCCCCTGAACTTAATTTATAATGAATAATGACAATCTCTTAGAATATGCAACGCACTGTACTCTTTACGTAGACTTAAAATTTCTAAAAATCGAATTCAGTCCAAATACAACTTTAATTAACTTTTAAACTAATGTTAAACATTTCTATTAATTACCAAATGACACTTAGAAATAACACGATTTAAAATGATTTGCATGATCGCCTTGTAGAGAAAGTTATAATGGGTTTTATGGTAATTTTGTAATTGTCGTTAACTGGCTAATTTTAAATAAACTGTCATTGATAATATATCGTACAAATTCTGAAAAAGACGATAAAATTCTACGTAATAATGAATCGTATTAAAAAATGAATTGCTATACATACATTATTGTTAATTTCTAATGTACAATTCAAATAAATATGTTTTTATTCTTCATTTATTATACAGGTCTACCATACGCTGTAAAAGAGACCTAATTAAATTATTCCCAACTTGGTATTTAAAAATGGTGATGCTTAAACATTTGTACTACCTACAAGGGTATAAAGTACCTTAAGAAGCAGTTAAAATATATTCCATCGATATATGTGAAAGCTTCCAGCTACTCCATAACTGAATATGACCATACAGCAAGAGATATAACATTTGGCATCTATGCATTTACAGGTCACATAGCGAAAAGAACGGGGACTATGGAACTATTTGTAGTAGAAGGAAAGAAGGCCAAAGACCAAGAGGAAGATCGCCAACACAATGGACAGACCAAATGAAGACTATGGTGGGAAAATCCCTACATGAAGCCGTCTATCTAGCACAGGAATCGCAATCAATGGAGACAGCAAACTAACACAATTTAGAGAGTCATCACTTTCTGACAAGGGCCCATTGAATAATAAATGAAAGAAATAATAGAACTGACAGTAACTTTTGGCTTCAATATTGTTTTTTCTTGTACCAAGACGAGCATTATGTATCAATTTAGACTCTAGGATGATTCCTTCTAGAGTTATCACAGACAGACAGATAAAGACACGATTTCAAGGACTGTCAATTCCTTCTAATTGTCTCGCAGCCAACAACCCTAGAATCCAGATTCAAAGAAGCTAAAAAATAATTTATAAAAAAGCTTCAGGACCAGACGATCAGCCTTAATTCAGTATGACACTAGAACAGGGCAAGAAATGATCTGAAGAATTCTTAATTTCTTTTAATCTTTCTACCAGGACTGTTCATTCACTTAGTAATTTTGTCTGTTTTCTTGATTATGAAAAAGTGTTATCCTTAATTCGTTCCAAAATTGATTACAGATGAATTGCATATGAATCTGCCAGCACAAGAAAGTTAAAACCTTTGGATACGTTACATAACACCTCCCTAAGGATAATACTTGGAACGTACAGAACAACTTCGATAAATAGCATACAAGCTGAAATAGGTGAACCCACGCTAGAGCTTCATAGGCGGCTGTTAACCGTTAATTACACTTCTAGCATAACTCTAAATAAAATAAATCCAAAAAATATTATTTTAGACATATCCATGGCTAACAACTATTCGAAGTTCAATTTCCCACTATATCTCAAGATATCTTTATCTTCACCTTGGATTATAAAAATTCCAACAGTCCAGCAAACCCTAACCTCATCATACAACTCTTCAGAACAACAACAGTATCCCGATATCACCCCAATCTGTAAAAGTATGGATTTAAAAAGCTATTTCATAAAGCACCTATTCGAGAATTGGAACAATAAATGGAACTCCACACCATCAAAGCTCCATGAGATAAAAAATAAGATTGGACCATGGCAAACACCAGAGGTATCCAGACGAAAGCAGATAATCATTTCCCGTTTACGACTTGGACATACCCAGTTTTCCCATGAACATTTGTTCCAGAAAGAAGAACCCCCAATTTGTGATGAGTGCAGTTCACCCTTACGGTAAAACATGTGCTAGTGGAGAAGTGCGAAAACAATCATAAAGACATTTGGCAGAAGTATAGAGAAAGTGCCGATGAAGTTGGCTATAAACGTCATGTTAAATTTGTGTTTGCGGTATTGCCACGTCCTTATTATGTATATGTTTTATGCCTCAAATATGCTTTGAAAAAGTACATTTTTATTACATTATTTTATGAAATTAGGTATTTTTTAAATTTATATAAAACACGAACGAATGAATATTTGTTTCTTTTGATATTAGTTGCAGTTAGTTATTAGAAAAAAAATTATAATTGGCCTTTGATAGATTAGCAAATAAACTTGGCAATACTGTCAAAACTGAAACACTAGCTACCAGTTGCAACAGATTTCAATTTTAGGACTATTTTCTTATAATTTTGGGATGAAATGATACCTGAATAAATGCTTAAAACAATCAAAGTTAATTTAAATTATAATAAATTAAATTATAACTTTTAAAGACTTAAAAATAATGTTTAGTAACATTTAATTAATATTATATCGCATGCTCTTTCGTGATTTATTTGTGATATGGCAACACTGCCAAATACAAATCTGTCAATAATTTGTAGCTAACTTCATCGGCACTTTCTCTATACTTCTGCCAGACATTTTAATTCAGAAAACACTATAGATAAGTTACCGTTGTTTTCAAAAGACTTACCCTCAAACAAAATCCCTAAACGTCGTTATTAAAATTATATCGTTACAAAGGTTTAAAATCATGGAATAATAAGCTTAGGTGATACTTACAACTTACTATAAACGATGAGTACTTAGTTACAAATTTAATGATGATCAATACGTGACTTGCATGTTTTATATTTTCTGTATTTTTTCTCAAAATAAACACGTGCTTGCTACTGTGTGAAACATGGAAACAAATAACACAATCAAATAAAATTAAAATTATTTATTCTCATTTAAATACTTCCATACAAACATGAAAAAGGCACTTCTGTCTTTTCACAATATATTTAAATACAAAAAACCGCCGTTGTTACAAACTTCCAGTATCTCGAATGACAATTGTCCAAAAAACGACCAATAACAAATTCCAAACAAGTTTCGCATCGATGTGAACAAATTTATGGAACTAGGTGTGTCGGTGTGAAGATGTCGAGAATTTGTGACCGAAACGTCGTTTTTCTGGACAACGGCCGTCAAATACTTGTGTTACTTTACAAAATCTTGTATAATATACAATATATAACCGTATCAGGTTGAACACAATTCGATATAAAATACAAATACAATTAAAAAATTGGCGTACAGAGGAACTGTCCAAAATCAACACCCCGTATTAATTCTACATAAAGGAACCCCAAGGTGTTGGTTTTCGACAGTTCTTTAATTTCACTTGGAGTTGTAGTATATGTATGGACCTTAAAGCTAACACTATTTGCTAATCATCACATTATGAATTATATAAAATTGGAAAATATTATTGATTCGTAATAACAGTATATGTATATATAGGAGCACTTCTATGCTGAAGATGGTTTAAAAACTGTTCAAAAATGCACTGTTTTTTTTAAATTAGATATATTTGTCTATGTATCCTATAGAACTGAAAATAGCTGCACTTTTTTAATAAAAATAGTTGCTTAGGGCAAATTTTGAGCATTAAAAAAGGGACATTATTGTAAAATAATTGCCTTCTTCAAAAATATCTATGAAAAATAATTCAAACAACTTTTGCTTATAGTGTAAGCCAAAACTGTTTTTTGAGTTTTGTCCCACCCTATATTGTGCATGTGTAATAGTCTAAACCTAATGAGAATTTAACTGATATTTAACAAAACATGATAAATATGTTTTATTAAATACAAGTGTTAAAAAAAAGTTTGGCAACTTATAATACAGATGCGCATTTGGAAGAACAATGTCAAAAAAGTATTGCACTGATAGTCAGAATAGATGACATAGATGAATATATTCCTCGTTTTATAAACAAAAACCAAAGAAAGGAATGGAAAGAAGACCTTAAATTGAACATTTTTCTACGAATCTTAAATTATGATAGAAATGTTTGTGCTCTTACAGCACATTACAATAAACATTTAGGATTTTCTATATCACCCAACAGTAAAACAGTTTTTAAACCTCTAACAGCTGTCTTATTTCTTTCATCTCAGATCAAACTATCACAGGAAAAACGATTTCACCAGCTATTACGATCATTTATATCGGTATAGGTAGTTTTTCATAATCAGTCTTCTAAATACATGGAAATTTCTATTAAAAAATAAACTATCACGTGATTCTATCGTTTTTCAATCAAGAGCTGTTGAAGACTGACAAAAATACAACATTTTGTACTCATTTTAAAATATTTTATAGAATATTGATAACTTTTTCAAAAAAATTAACAATACGACACATTTTACTAGAGAATATGATGTAAAATGGTGTTTGTTACATTTTTTGGGTTATGTGAGGTTATATAACACAAGTATTTAAATTTAGCAAAATTGTATGACATTTTTATACAAAAAAACCTGCTAAAATACAATTCCTGATAAACGTCAAATATATTTTGACATTTTTGACAGCCTCAACAGGGCTACACGTTTTGCAAGATCATAATGCTCGCGAAATCGCTTTTCTAACATATTTTTCTTTCCAACATGAAGTGGCAGTATGTATTACAAAACAAATTAGGAATAAAAAGCATATTTTTGGAATGACGTAATAATTGAGCTATTGTAAAATATTTAGAAAAAAAAAACGTTTAAATATCACAGCCGCACCGATAGAGGACGCTGGCCGTACGATACAGTCTTTTCTGTCATCACAGAATTCTTTTTTACCGTAACTCTCGGAATGGTCGCATTTTTCTTACGAAGTGTTCGAAAAAATTCGGCGAGATGATGTGGTGGAATTCCGGAGTAAAAAATTGTTCGAAAGGCACATTTTGCTCAGAAATCCTCTGCGTATATTCAGCAGGTCGTCAAAGTATCTACTCGCACACATTTTTCTGATCAATTAAAAATAGTTAGTACAAAAATTAAAGCTTACAAGATGGCTGCCTATTCAGAAAGTTTCAATATTTATTAAAATTAAAAATGTTCGCGTAATCTCCAACTATAAGGTCTACCTGTTTGGCCTATGTAGTTTATTGCTGGTAGATATTTCTTAAATAGGCTCTAAAACGAGTAATTAATTGTAGGATAAACAGGTAAACGTGTACTGAAAGAATTTACCAACATTTTGTACAAAAAACCAATGATTTTACTTTTTGAATAAAAACAAACTTAGAAATTATTAAACAGCTGTTACTAATGGTAATAAGTTTTGTTATATTTGTGTTTATATCAGTTTTTTTTATTGAATGTTTTGACCTAGCTGTAAAGGTCTTTGATCATTGTGTACACGAACGGGAAATGGATTAAAAATCTCTGAAATACGATGTTTATATAATTTTTATGTAATCCAACGCTGTTACATAAATTAGTATATGGTGAGTTAAAAAACACAGTTCATAAAACCTTGAAGCTTGCATTTTTTACGCAAACATTCATTCATGCTGTATTTTTAATTAATTCAACGATAAATACCGAGTTTGGGGTCCAGATGATTACAAAAACTCTCAGAATAGATATTTTCACTGTTTGGTAATCAGTTTTATAAATGTAGCTATCAATTAGGTATTAAAATTAGTAAATCAAAGATAAATTTATGTTTCAGTTATAGACAAGAGTTCTTTGAAATGAAGTATTGTTTTTGTACACGAAAATTTCATCTAAATGAGGATCAAATGTTAAGCAATTAAAGAATATTGTTCTATTGTAGATGTAAATATTATGATACAAATTCTAGATAGTCTTTTAAAATAGGAAAGTTATATACAGTAAAATAAACATTCTAATCAGAAAAATGTATGTATTGTATATCAACGAACCTACCGAATACCAGCAGTACAGCGTTACACCGATACAGACTCCTTACCTTCGAGTTTTTTCGATAGATCATTAATAACTTCTTTGAAGATAAGAGGATCTATGTTTTTGCTCAATTGGTAAAGAACGAACCAATCACCGATCTCACACTTGTTACCTATCGTTTCCACCTGGTCGTAGGCGGCAATGCGACATTTGGTTCTAAGAAGATACAACCTAATCTTGGGTGCGAATATGACAGCGAGGCGATACAGCAAAGATACTCCAGATAGGACACTAAGAAGGATGAACCAGAACCACAGGAAGACGTAGATTTTTTCGTTGACGATGTTGAGTGGAAGAACGCACAATCCATCGAATCGTTGCACTGTACCCGAAGGACCGTATTTGTTGAATGTGCACTTAGTTACTTTGGGAAATACCCTGGCCATTGGATCTTCTCTCTGCTCTGGTTCCATCTCGGTGAAAGAAAGCACATCGCTGCCGTATGTGCTGAATTCGCCGTCGAGGAAGAAGTCCATGAAGAAAATTTGCCCGACTACGTTAACGAAGTTGAGAACTTCGCATATGAAGAATCTATACGCATAGAAGTTTTGTAAATGTAGATTTGTCGTGAAATAGTCCACTAATAATTGCTTTCTGTCTTTTTTACAGTCTTCTGAGACGATGGGACAGTTGAGATCCAACACTAACATTTTAACTCGACCGCCCTCCCAGGTTTTCCACAAATATCTGGGTACGTAGAAGAGCATAGCTTGGAAGAACAATGCAAAGCAGACCCACTGATAATATTTGTGATACTTAACATCGTCTTTGCCGTCCACATGGCTAGCTACTCCTGGCTGGACAATGTCTTTTCCTATGTGTCCGGTTAATCTATTTGGAACGGTAAATGTGGAGTAAATCCAACAATAAGTGTCCATAACATTTAACGGAATTTCGTCAACTATACAGTCTATAGGGTCTCCTATGTACTGTCGGCTTGTTACTAATAGAGAAAAAGACACTAAGATAATTACGGTTGCTTTGTAATGCAAACGAAATATATTGTTGTCTATGCATACTTGGTCGATCTTCAAGAGACCTTTCACTGAACCGAAAACATCAAACATTTTGACGAACTACACTGACACACACGCACTCGCGAACAAATCAATCAGGCCGTTGTACGACCTAACATGTATTACAGTTTTTTTATTATTGTTATGAACTATTTTTGTTGTGTGTACGCAACCGATTACACGAACTTCTACGGTCTCCAAGGTGCCCACTCTAAACTGAAACTACATTCACCGTTCGCTTCGCTCTGCCAGAGAGAACGCATTCTGAGAGAGGGGAGTGACAGGCCCGCATCCCCACCGCGCGCTCTTAGCCGCATCGAGGGGTTCGCCAGATGCAACGGCGAAGAAAGAAGTTTTGGTCATGGGCGGCGTTGACTCATTTCTGCCTTTGACGGCAATTCGCGAAATTTCTATAAAATTATCGGAAGAATGATATCACTTTGTTAAAACACAGGACTTTACTGTTTGATACCATTTTTGTAGAATTGTATTATCGTTCGGCAGCTAACCTACATTATTTAAATAATTAATCTATAAATATTTATCAATTACAATAATTATGAATATCATTAAAAAAGTGCTAAATTACAAGGAATATAATTCATTAATATTTTTACTCCATTTTAAATTTTTTTTTGATTAATCGTGGTTCCTATTTCGTACTATTTGTAGAATTGTATCGAGAAAGATAAAGAAATTTTTGAATTTGAAAATTCTTAAAACTATTACCATCTGATAAAATTCTTCTTCTTTAAGTGCCGTCTCCAAACGAGGTTGGATATCATCATCACTATCTTTACTCTATCTACTGCTGCTCTGAAGAGTTCTATAGAACTGCATTTAAACCAGTCCCTTAAATTCTTCAACCATGACACTTCTTTTCTTATACTCCTTCCTCCTCTTATCTTTCCCTGTATTATCAGCCTTAGCAGTTCATATCGCTGTCCCCTCATTACGTGTATCAGATATTGTAACTTTCTTATTTTTATCGTGTTTATTGTTTCGCATTCTTTGCTCATTTCTCGCAATACTTCTGTGTTAGTTTTCTTCTGTGTCCATGCTATTCTAAGCATCCTTCTGTAACACCACATTTCAAAAGACTGTAAACTTATTTATGTGTTCTTGCTTCAATGCCACAAGTCCATATTGCAGTATCAAAACACGTAGCATCTCAGTGCTCTTACTCTCAGTTCTAATCTAAGATCTTTGTTGCAGATAATTGTTTTCATTTTTTCAAACGCATTTCTTGCTATTTTTATCCTAGCTCTTATTTCGGTTGTTTTGATCATTATTGTCTGAAATCCAGGTTCCATATCTTTATAGGTATTTGTATTTATCAACCCTTTCTATCGGTACATTTCCCAAATGTATGTTGTTGTATATTTGTTTTCTTTGTTATTATCATGTAGTTGGTCTTTTTATATTCATTTTTAGTCCATATTTTTCACAGAAACTGTTTGTTTTGTTTAGCAGTAATTCGAGTTGTTCAGCAGAGCTTGCCATAATCACGGTGTCATCTGCATATCTTATATTGTTAATAGATCTTCCGTTAATTATTATTCCTTCACTTTGAGATAGTAATACTTCTTCAAGAATGGCTTCACTATATACATTAAATAGTAATGGGGACATAATACATCCCTGCCTAACTCCTCTCCAGATTTCAATTTCTGGACTGGGTTCGCTATCTATTACGATTTGTGCTCTTTGATTCCAGTAGAGGTTTGATATTATTCGTAAGTCCCTGTGGTCTATGTTTTTTGTCTTTAGAATTTGGACTAAGTTTTCATGTCTTACTTTGTCAAATGCTTTTTCAAAATCAACGTAACAAACATGCACATCAACATTCATATCCATGCATCTTTGAGCTAACACATTAAAAGCAAATAACGCTTCTCTGGTTCCTAGTCCGTTTCTGAACCCAAACTGACTATCATCTATTCCTTCTTCCAGTTTTTATTTATACGACCATGTATTCTTTTAAGGAATAATTTGAGAAAGTGACTTATTAGTGATATTGTTCTGTATTCACTGCAATATTTAGCGTTTGTATTTTTTAGGGATAGCACAAAAGGTGGAGAGTAACCATTGTTTCGGTATGTGTCCTGTTTTGTATACTGAGTTAAATAAGTCTACTATAATGTCTAAGGTTTCATCATTCATGCATGTTAAGATTTCTATAGGAATTTCGTCTGAACCTAATGTTTTACCATTTTTGCTGTTTTTATAATGCCATTTTAATTTCCTCTTTTAATATCTTTAAAACCATATCCTGTTCTACTTCTATCTCCATCTGTTCTGTTCTATTGTCTTTGAATAGTTCATTGATGTATTCTGTCCATCTCTTTAATTTGTCGTTAGTATCAACACAAGTTTCCCATTTGCATCTTTCAGTATTCCCGGTTTTCTTGTTCTATTGTTGTGAGTTAATTCTTTAATTTTTTTATGTGTGTTAAAACTATCATGTATTTTCTGGTATTCTTCTATTTCTGCGCATTGTTCTTTTAGCAATTGTTCTTTCGCTTTCTTAATTCTGTATTTTATTTGTTTATCCACTTTTTTGTACATCTGATTATCTTTGTTCTTATATTGACGTCGTTCTTCCATTAAATCTAAAATTTCTTCCGTCATCCATTGTTTTTTTATATCTGGTTTGTAATAGAATTTCTTTTTGACTTTTATCTATTTCTGTCTTTATTAATAACCATTTTTTCTCCGTCTCAGTATTTTGCAGAATTTGTTCTTTAACATTCATTAATCCGTTGTTGATTTCATCTGTCAGGCGTTGCCTTATGAGTGGTTCCTTAATTTACTTGTATCGATTTTTGAAGAATAATAGCGACAAAAATAAACGAACGAATATCTCTGCAAGAGGAACAGCAAGGATTTCGGACAGGAAGATCATGCACGGATGCAGTTTTTGTAATAAGACACTGGTCTTATAAAAGAAAAGTCACTGGAATACAACAAACCAGCATATATGTGTCTGATAGAGCTGAAGAAAGCGTTTGATAGAGTGAGAATTCGGGACGCGATACATTTATTATATGAAAAGGGAATATCACTGGATTTAGTAAAAACCATTGAGAATATATATAGAGATAACATAGCTATGGTAAGATGTAAAGGAAAACTATCGCAACCTATCAAATATGAAACTGGCATTAGACAAGGAGATTCGCTGAGCCCATTAATATTTAATCTGATAATGGATGAAATCATAAAGAAAGTTAAAAAAAGAAGAGGATATAGAATGGGAGAAAAGGAAATAAGGATAATATGCTACGCCGACGACGCCATAATAACAGCCGAAAATGAAGATGACCTACAAAGATTAATTAAAGAATTCGAAGATACGGCGCTCATATACAACATGGTGATCTCAACAGAGAAAACTAAAGCGATAGTGATATCAGCGGAACCGAGACGATGTAAACTAGTCGTAAATAACAAAATAATAGAACAAGTGATGGAAACTGAATACTTAGGAATAAAACTGTCAAGCTACGGAAAAGTGGAAGAAGAAGTACAAAAACAAGTGAACATGGCAAACAGAGCAGCAGGATGTCTCAACAACACAATCTGGAGAAACAAATACTCACAACGGAAACGAAAACCAGGATATATAAATCAACAATAAGACCGATAATGACGTACACAGCAGAAACAAGAGCAGATACGGCGAAAACACAAAGACTGCTGGAAACAACAGAAATGAAAGTCTTACGAAAAATAACAAACCAAACTCTAAGAGACAGAGTAAGAAGTGAGGAAATACGAGCGAGATGTGGTATAGAGGAAATAAACGCGTGGACCAAAAGAAGAAAAGTGGAATGGAATCAACACATCGAAAGAATGACAGAAAATAGAATAGTACGAATAGCAAGAGACAAATCGCCAAATGGAAGAAGATCATTGGGACGACCGAGGAAAAGATGGTCAGACAACGTCAATTGAGGCTAAAAACCGAAGTAAAACAGGCATTAAGCCTATTTATAAAGTAGGAAGAAGAAGATTTTTGCATTTGTTGTTCTTCGCTTTATTATTTTCATTTTGAGCCTAATTTTGGTCACTACTGGGTTGTGATTTGATCCTATGTCGGCACTTGGATAGGTTTTTGCGGATATAATTGCGTTCCTGTATCTTTGTCTAACTAATACATAGTCTATTTGGTTTCTTACAATTTTTTTCTCTTACAATTCTCTCTCTGATAAAATTAAATAGCACTAACATCGATGATTGGACACCTCTTTTGATTTGCACACTTCCGGTGAGTTCGTTGTCAATTTTTGCTCTTGCTGTTTGACCCCAGTATAGGTTTGCCACAATTCGAATGTCCTTGTCGTCAATACCTGTCTTTCGCTCGCAGAATATCTATCAATTGTTCATGATTGACATTGTCAAATGCTTTTCTAAAATCCACAAAGCACAAATATACGTCCTTATCAACGTCTCTACACCGCTGTATAAGCACCTGAAGAGCAAAAACTGCTTCTCTAGTTCCAAGTGCTTTCCGAAAACCAAACTGCGATATATTTTCAAGTCTATAGCTAGAACAATGCTGAATATTTTATTTTAGAAAATCTCCGTCACTGTTTTATGATTCTATATTGGGTTTTATCTCACGTGTAATATAATTTGTGCTATCAATCAATTTCAAATGTGCTATAGTCATTTACCTTCATCCTTTCTTATCCGGGTTCGGTATCTACCGTCAATCTGTTTATATTTAAATAAGTTATGTATTTCCTAAAGCATGTTTGTAAACAGAGTTTTGGACCTTTTCATCCTATAATACGGAATTATGAACATGTCTTGACTAGTTATACTTGTAGAACCTTAATATCATAGTAGGTATATTCTTGAAGGGCGATCCGGCAACGTCGCCAAGCCCTAAGTATTTAGTGAGGATTTTAATGCTGGTTTTGTTACGGTATCGCATGTTGCAACGTTGGCGATTTTAACCGTATGTTAAATGGACATAGAGCCGATATTGGTTATTTTCAATAGTCCAGGTAAGAACTCGGACTCGGTGATTGGTATTATTACACTTTACAATACAGCAATTTGCGAACCAGATAAATATCCGTGAAGTTTTACCAAGAAACCGAATGTTTGGCCATGAAATACTCTTTTTTTTTCTATTTGGAACCAAAAGAAAACTTTCCAAAACACTTGTTATCTAATGTGTTAGTAATGTGTAAGCGATGATGATAACAAGTGATATAAATGAGGTTTTCAATGATTGGAAAATACTAAGTTATGTTAATATGAAATTAGTAGATTCTTTCTTAGACA